CAGGTGAGACGCTGGCGATTCGCAGGGTGGAAGCCGAGCCACACAGCTCCCCACAGGCTGGAGCCAGGCAGCATGGGATGAGCAGGGCCAGGCTCGCATCCCAAAGCCAGCCCTGCCCGATTAGCTACAGAGAAATATTTAAAGCTGGTGAGAGCTCCTTAGCAACAGCCACAGCCTCTGCAGGCTGTTGATGGAGAAGAAAGGCCAGAGGAAAATATGTGCAGGAAAGATGGGGGTGGAGAAGAGGAGGCTGATAAGGACAAAGATACAGTGACAGCAGGTCCCAGTTGCTGGTGGTGCTGGCATGGGGCCCAGGACAAAGCCACCAGGTCCTCTGGCTATGCCCAGCCCTGAATGAAGGGTACAGCCAGTGTCCAGCTTCTAGCTGACAAATGAAACTCATTTCCAGCATAGACCAGGGATGTCTGGTCCTACCCACCCGCAAGAGAGGACATCCCCTTCCCCAAAGCTACCCGCAGGGCTGAAGGGTTACACTTTCACCCATCTTCAACGCTGCCCAGGCTGAGCCCCAGCTGTGCTGCCTCCAAGGATTTCTCCATGAACTGGAGTGCCACAGGCTCAGAGGAGACCCATAAACGAGGCTCAGGAGTGCAGGGTTGTCATCTCACTCTCCCCAGAGCTGCAGCAGCCAGCCACATCCCCATAAGCCATTCAGGGGGAACACCACATGTGAGGGACAGTTTATTTTCCATTAAAAAAATAGATAACAACTTCACCATCTCCTAACAGATATTACAGTCATCAACACCACAACACGCAGACTAAATGCCACTCTGTGACAATATTCCTGTCCTGGGGCAGGAGGGATGGAGGCAGCAGGCTGGGATGGGGAGGGGGGAAGGAGACAGACATGTTTCTTGTGGCCTCAGAGCCTCAGCAGGTACAGGACCCATCCACACCTCTCCACAGCCCCAGTCCAGAACCCACCAGTCCCCACAGTAGTGCCACACACCAGGAGCAGCTCCAGGACATGCCTTCAACACCCACACTCCTGATCTTGCCCCAGGGCAGGTCATGGAAGAGTCAGGCAGACCCGGCCTTCAATTTAGGATGCCAGTCATCGGGCCAGAAACTCCATAAAACATCCAAAATGCTGTCAGGGCAGTTGTGGAGGTCACCCACTTGCTCAGGCGGCTCATACGGGTGATGGGGTGGAAGGTGGCTTCTGGGATCAGACACTGGCCACATCCAGGGGTCATCTTGATCTCTTCTGCTCTCCTCTAAAGTCCTCTGAACAACCCTGGTCATTCCCAGCAGCAAAATCAGAGGTGGAAAAGCTAAAGCCAGGTGGAGGGAGCCAAGGCAGTGAGCCCTCAGAGAGGGTGCATCTTGCTGCCCCAGCCACCCAGCACCCTGGAGCCAGCCCTGGCCCCTCTGGGCAGCCTTGCAGAGAATTACCGCTAAAGGAGAGACCAGGGCCGGGACTTGGGACTTTTCAGCCTCCCTGGAGGCATCACAAGCAGTGAGAGGGGGATCAATGGAAAGGGGAAAGAGCTAGTTTCAGTTTGGATCAGGGAATGGGGCCAGGTGGAGCAGTGGGGGACAGCAAGGAGAAAGCAGCAGGGATGTGAGATCAGTTGGTCCTGGGGATCCAGGATGCTCATCTGCAGGGAGTCCAGCTCCAGGACAGGAGAGAGTTGATTTGGGGGTAACCCCAAGCCAGCAATACCCAGAGCAGACTCTACCATCGAGCGAGAGATACATCCCAGGGACTGTGGGCTGCCCAGGACACAGCTGGAGCAGAGGCAGGTGGGTGGCAGGAGGGATGGAGCATGGCTCATGCCTGGGGCCAAGCGGGCATGGAGGGGACTCAGCAGAAAATGGGGATGGAAACCACCACAGGGAGCCGAGGTTGGCTGCAGCCAGTCCAGCGATGAGCCCCCAGGGCTCTATTTCTGCATGTCGCACTGCAGGAGGAGGACGATGGAAGGATCACTCTTCGCTGCCTCCTTGAACTCCTCCAGGGAGATCTGGTCGTCCTTGTCCTTGTCCATCTTTGTGAAGATCTTGTCAACACGTTGCTGGGGTGTCAACCCATCTTGGTTCATCCTCATCATGATCACGGTCCCCACCATCTTGTATATGGCCTGGAGCAAGAAGAGACAAGAAGTATCAGAGTGGGAATGTTGGATGGGTAGAAGGTCCCAGGTTAAGGAAGGGGACAGGATTTGTTGCTCTTCTGGGACCCAGCTAGCTGCTGGTATGTGCTACACTGCCCATCAGGAGCACACCAGGTACCTTTCAGACAAGATTCTGGGCAAGAAAACTCATTCTTTAGTACCAAAAGGGACCCAATAGCTGCAAAAAGCCTGGGGAAAAAAAAAGCTGATTTTTAAGCACTGGTACCTCGATGATCTCCAGCATCTCCAAGCGCGTGATCTTCCCATCCCCATCCAAGTCATACATCTCAAAGGCCCAGTTGAGTTTCTGCTCAAAGGTGCCCCTGGAGGTGACAGACAGGGCACAGATGAACTCCCTGAAGTCGATGGTCCCATCACCGTTCTTGTCGAAGGTGCGGAAGGCGTGCTGGGCAAACTTGGAGGCGTCTCCATAGGGGAAGAACTGCAGGGAGGAGAGAAGAGAGACACTGAGACAGGGAGGGGGAGCTCAGTGCAGAGGCTGCACCCGAAGCAGCGCTCCTTCCCGCAGCAGCCGCAGGGCTCCTTCCCGCAGCAGCAGCAGGGTGCTCCAGCCCTGCAGGCAGTGGTCAGACCCCCAGCCAGAGCTCACCTTGATGTAGAGCTGCTGGAATTCCTCCAAGTTGAGGATGCCGGTGGGACAGTCCTTGAGGAAGCCCTTGTACCACTGCTTCAGTTCCTGCTCGCTGAACTCTGTGCTCCTCACCAAGTCATCCAGCATCTCCGGGGCCAGCTTGCTGCTGTGCTTGCCCATGGCTGCCTCTGGGAGGGAAAACACACGGGTCCTCCGCAGCAGGCACAGGGAGGCCTGGTGCTCCCAGGTCCTGCTCCACTCCAGCAGATGGACAACCCTGCCTGCCTCTTCCCCAGCCTGTGGGAGTCTGTGAACCATCAAACGCTGGGATAGTGACCATGGCACTGGGGACAGGCTCGGTGTCCATGCTCAGCTGTGGCCTTCACTGCTGGAGGTGTGCAGGAGCTCGTTCTGGGGCAGTCTGCCAGCACCCCCCCTCCCCTCGCCCCCATCTCCTAGGCTGGTTCCCTTTAGGCTTCACAAAAACAGTCAAAAGGCAGCTGAAGACCCACAACTCCATCTCACATGGCCTTTACCATGCCATGAGGTCCAGTTGCCCACTGTAAGGATGAAAATATGAAGAGGTAACACAACTCTGCCCTTAAAGCAGGGAAAAACCTTACTGGCACCTGCTGACTTGCATCATCCAGCCAGATGCAGTGATGCACCACCTGCTCCTGGCCAGCCCTTGGTGAGGATGGGGTCCATGGCCAGGCTCCCCTCCGCCAAGGGGATGGCCGCAGCACCACCG